ATTATTTTTTTCTATTTTTCTTATTTTTGCCACTTTTGTCTTTGTTGTCATTACTATTTTTATTTTTATTATTTTTATTACTTTTGTTTTTGTTATTGTCAATTATTGGTTATTAATTATCGATTGTTAGTCATTAGTTATTAATTATTATTAATATTGTTTTCATTACTTGTATTGCTGTTACTAATAATATAATTGCTGGCAACTTTTATTATTTTATTATCGTTAGGTATTAATTCTTACTATTTTTGTATTATTTTGTTCCATGGTTCTGGCTGGATTTGTTTGCTACTTTAGTCATTTGAGTTTGTTTTAGGGGTAACTGTACGTATGTATTTAGCAGGTGGGAAAATTTCACAAAGGAGATTCATTGACTGCGAAACTATGGGGGCTTGGGAAAGCATGGTGTGATTTAGAGAGGAAGACATTGGTACAAAAGGACGCTTGCTTTTGAGAGTTTTTTGAATGTACAGAATTGGTCTTACTGTTGTACAGTAAGTCAGTGCTTTATTGATTAGATGTGGGTTCGTGTCGGCGTTTCACAGTAGTGAAAGGTTTACGTGTTGTTTGCTTTGACAGTGGTGCGATCGTCACGGAAACTAGTTTAGTGACTAGGTGCTTTCATAGTTGCTATTATTATTCGGAATTGGCTCGATGTGCGTTTTTGATTTCTGATTTTTCGGAGGTTTCTGTAGGCTAAGTGATTTTTTATCTCCAATTTGAGTGTATTTTACAGCCACAGAATTGAGATTGGTTTTATTCGGGGTCTTTGTCTTGTGAGCTGTGTTGAGCGGATTAGGAGGTTTCGTATTTTTCTCTGAGTTTGTTTCCCCGATTGTCATGCCGAGTTTGTTTCCCCGATTGTCATGCCTTGAAGCTCATGGTACTGTGAATGGTATTTCGTGTTTGGGTCTGTTTTTCATGTTGTTTATTGTAACTTGTCTGATTAATGGGAGTCGGCATGCTGGTAGTTTCTCGTAAATTGTTTGCAGAACTCAGTGTTGGCTTGTATCGCCGAATGGCAGTAAAATAAGTTGCCCGTTCAGTATTTTGAATTTGTGCGGAATTAAGAGTTGTAGCTTTGTGTGTGATTTGCGTTCAAATTGCGATTTTGAGAGGTGGGCAACGTTATGTTGAAATTTAATTTATTATTTTTAGATAAATATTGATTGAATTCCATCCTCTTACTTGCTTGCGATTTAATCGGAAAGGAGCAAGAAGTTGAGTTAAGTGGACAGGCTACCATTTTAATGCGCCTATTATGGAACTTTAATTTTCCTGGTAGTAAGACTAAATTTGCAGATAACAGCTAGTCTTTTCTTTAGAAAACATCGACAGTAATAATTTAGTTTTTTGCGTCTAATTTGTTGCGATCACAGAACAGTCATTGAAAACTAATGCCAAATGTTGTTGAGTAGAGACTCAACAACAGTGCAGTTTGGTCATCTTGTGTAGAAGCAATTTACCTTTATGATTCGTTTCCGCAGATGTGTTTGTTTGGAAATTAGCTACTATATGGTTGTTCCTGAGCTGTCTTAGCTGTATTGGGTGGTTCTGTTATGCTTTTTGTTTCAAACATTAAGATGCGCTTGGTGGGTGACAGGAAGCTCAACCTCATATAAGCTTTTTTTAAATTTATTTTTTAGAAGGTAAGATGTTGCAATTGATTTAGATGTTTGTGGTTTGGCAAATTAGCGTTGAAGACCAAACATTGATCTAGAAATTTTTTTTTGTTTGATTTATCTACTTTTCATTTGAAGGCTCTAATAATCGTCAAATTTAATTGAAAACTAGGTGGTAAACGAAAGATTGGTCGGTCAGCAGCTCTGTTTCGCGGGAATGAATGTTGATCTGCATGGGCAGTGGCTATGTATACTGCATACAACTAGTCATGTTCTTAAGATTTGAAAAAAGCACAAATTTTTTAAAATTTTAAAGTTGGGCTTGTGAGTTTGAATTAAAACCGATGTCAAGGTTTATAGAACTGACTAATGCTGTGTTCGAATTAAAACCTATGTCAAGGTTTATAGAATTGACATGCTTTGTTCTATCGTCTTATTCCTCAACAACATAAAGACGCATCTCCAGTTGGAAAAATAGGCTTTTGTTGTGCGTTGTACATTTTCTTTCACGCTCTAGTCATTTGGCTTCGGTTCCCGTTTTATTTTTGCAAAGTTTTAGCTGCAGGGTCTAGAAACTTTGACCTCAGCGGTGGTAAAGAACATGGTTTTTTAGGTGAGCGGTTGAAAGTATTTTGAAGAATTTTCGGTTTTGCTTCGCTCTGCTTCATTTTGATACGGTAGCCATCAAATGTTCGAATGGTTTTGTTACTATGACCAAATTTTACTTTGGGGTGATTTTTTTACATAATAAAATTTGAATTCAGTGTAATTCTTTGTCATATTTCTGTCTTGTCACGTCATCTTTTAGCTCGTGAAATTTTTTGCTCAATTTGGAATTTTTTGCTAGTGCAACGAGCTTTTATTTTATTATCATTTTTCTACTTTTTTTATTTGTAAGGTACTTTAAAATTTTTAGGAAATTGATTTCAAAAAAGAAGAGGTAACTTTGGTGGAATTCTACGTTTCCTTTGACGCTAAGAATGAAATCATTGTATATTTTTGGGAAGAAAATTTGAATACATGAGTACTATTTTTGTACGAAGATTGGACGAACAAATCTGCAGTTTAAGTGCTTTACATTCTAAAAACGAAGAAGTAGCGAATAGATGGCAAGATGGTCAAAAACTCCTTTACCTCTTTCGTACACATCTGAATTTCAGTCGCGTACGCCTTGTGCAGTGCAGAATTTTCTTTCTCCTTGCAGCTTTCTAGTTTTTGTTATAAACGGAAAATATTTTTTTGAAAGTCTTGTATAAGATTTTTGCAAATTTATTGAGGGAAAATCTGTACTTGTAGCACTTGTAAAATTTACTTATCAAGCCTGGAACTTTCTTATTTTGGTTATTTATTTTGTTGCTGGTAGACAGTTAAGCTCCAGTTAAGTTTATTCTGATTGTTCCATCTCTGTTTATGGAACTTTTTACATGCTTATAGATGGGAGCTTGCTTTTTGAGAAACAGGCAGCCAGAGAGATGATCGGAATTACTTGCCTTCGCAATGCTTCACATTTTCAAGTATAGTTTCAAACCTTGATTTTTATATGGCTGGAGTTTTTGGATTTTTAGCAGTTCCCAGATTTGGAAAGCCTGTTAACACAAGCAATTCGTCTGCTAATTACTGTTTTTTTCGGAAAAAGCGGCGGTCACCGAACAATTTTTTAAATTTACAAAATTCGATGTGCTTTTCTTCACTCCTCTGCATGTTGGCAGGTTAAGTGGCAGTGCGGTAAAGCGTTCCTTCAAATAACATTCTGATGAGCGCTGCAGGAAAGAAGCAGTAAATTTCATCTACTGCCTAGGTGTTAAAATTTGTTTTTGAAGAAAAAGACTATTTGGAACAGTTGTCGAGAGTGACAGTGATGTTTTTCATTGGGGTCTTCTAAAGGGAAGCTGAATGGATGTGTTAGTGAACTGTACAGCTGTATTTTCCTGTCGATGGGATTGTTTAATGGCCGTTTGTCGTTTGCGAAAAAAATTGTTTTGCGCAGTTATGTATCGCTTCGGTTATATTTATTCGCCGCGCCCACCACTATTTTAACTAAAAGTGACGCTATTTGGGGATGTGGGAATGGCAGATTTTCCGACTCTGTTCTTTTTTATTTATACCACACGCGTTTGCATTGTTGATACATTGTTATTTTCCACAAGGAATACTTTTACTTATAGCCTTCAGAACCAACAAATTTATTTTTGTCTCGGTATTCTTGGTATATATATATAGTACGGGAAACTGAGTTTTCTCAAAGGTACTAGCAGTTACTCTTGTTTACCAGGAATAGAAAAGCAGCTGGTGCATGCTCTTTAAAGAAGAGAAGGTAGGTTTTTTGTCGAAAAAACGACTGCCTTTAATTTGTGTAGCACTGATTAAACTGCTTACCAATTGCCAAACATTAATTTGTTACAACTGTTACCTAAGCTGTTTTCTTTGCTAATTTCAAATGCAGCTGCATCGTGTTTCCTCAGTGTTTGGCTTTCGGAAGAAAACTATTTCTCCTGGTCACTATTCATTATCACTTTACTAAATTTTAGGGAAATAAGAAGTACACTTATCTATTTTTTTCAATGTAAAAAAAACATTGTTGGTAAATGTTCTACAGTTGTTTGGATTTTTTGTGAGCATTTTATTTGAAGGATGGTGTTTTCAAAGCGCTCTTTCAGTATTTTTTGCGTATGAGCCTTCCCAAAAAGCACGGATTTTTTATCTTCAATAAGCGAACATATATTGGACGGTTAAAATTCTCTCACTTTGCTGTCTTAAGTTAGTTCTCATTCAGAGGAAAAGTTGTGGGCTGATCTATGTACTTTCGCTGCAGGCAACAAAAGTGTGGGAAACAAAGTTATGATGATCGAGACACTGATTGCAATGATGCGGTATCTGTCACCTCGGCAGGACGACGATGCTGTTGATCGGTTGAATTATCTATTTACTCCAAACATACTGTTGGCATTTGCGGTATTGATCAGCTTTAAGCAATTCGGTGGCCATCCTATAGAGTGCATTACTGCAAGCAAGCTGCCTGGTTCGTGGGAAGAAGTTGGTCGTTCAGCTAACTAAATTTTCAAATGTCAGACCTATTTCTTCTGTGCACCAGCATGGTTTTGAAACTTTAAGCTCCAGTGGGTTTTGAAAAATAGCAGTACTTCAGTGTGTGTTGCTAAGAATGGGGCTTCTTGCAATATTAAACATGGGAGCCTCACGAAACTTACTTTTTCATCAAGTAACAAGCGGTATGCCTAGCGCGATTTTCAGTTAAGATTACTTTTAAATTCTGAATTTGTATGACGAAAGTTGCTTACTTTTATAATTTTGTGCAGGCATTTTACGACTGTTGGTACAACAGAGTTAAATTTATGGCTGTTCAAATTGCTGGCTTTAATTCTAGTAATAAGCATTGTACGACGTTTACCAAGAACTTCCTATACGAATAGCAAAGGAGGAAAAGGGAGGGTGAAAGCAAGGTGAGTTGGGACTAAAGAAAGGTTCTCCATTTTTTTGTACCAGCGTAGTTTAAAAAAGCAATTTGTGAGAATTTTTTCGGACAAGTCTTTATTTGTTTTCCCCCGATATAAAGTGAGGTCAGCTGAATGACTTTTAGTGAGTGTTTCACAGTTCCCCTCTACTTTTCATTCCCGTTATTTGCACCAACCTAAATGCGCCGTTTTTTAGACAAACCTAACGGCATTGTATCTCTCGTTAAACGATTTTTTACAAGCTGGAAGATATTCTTATTTCTAGATTAGTTCTGCTGCCGTGTTTCCTTTTTGTATCCCATTTTGCTGGGGACCGTTTGCTTTTGATACAACAAATGCAGCAGGGGAAGGTCACAAAAACTTTTAGCTTCAGTCTTGAAAGACGGCTTTCGGAACAATTAGAAATATAGCTGGGTGGCTGGAATTCGCCTGAAAAGTTTAATCAAGATTAGAGGTTTCACCGTTGAGTAAAGTTTTTTAAACAATCTTTCAAACTCTACCTCAGTTTGAGTTGGAGATTATGATGTCAAGTGCCGAAATTGCCGTACAGTCGAGCGTCTGGCTAAGTCCAGGAGTATTAAGGCAGTGTAATTAGCTATTATAGCTATTAGTGAATGGGTTAATTTTAGTGTTTAGCAGGCTCCAGTTTAAAATTTCTGAATGAAACTTGGGTTCTGTTTGCACACCAAAAAACTTCTGTGTTTTTGCGCTATGGCTGCACTATTAATTTCTTATTCGTTTTTAGATTGTTCTCTGTTTTTCTTAACTTGCTTAAAACTGAGATTGTTTTTACTTTTTTGCATTTTTTAGTCATCTAAAAGGTTTTGTAACTAAATAAGATGTAAAATTTTTACTGCTTTACAACAGAAGTGATACAAAGAGCTGTAAAGGAGAAAATTAAAAAGGAGAGTGTCAGTTTTGCAGGGGGTATAAAGATTTTGTATGATCAGGCGGACTGTTTCGAAACGCTTGAATTTCTTGTCACTTTCACATTTTTTGGTATCTCAGAATATTCTTTACTCGGAAACAGTAGAAATAAAAACACTCAGCTTCCCATTGCCAGTATTATCAGTTGTTTTCTCTACTTAGCAAGTAAAACATTTTAATTATTAATTTTTTACAGTAGGAAATTCACTAATTCAAAATCTGCAAAGTGCAAGTGTATTCAAAATTAATGTCAGCAAACAAGTGTAGTTGGATTTCAGTACGCAGAAAACTACTGTTGGGCGCAAGACACGTATTTTGTAAAACTAAACGAACCTGTGGCTTTAGTGCAGCAGCAAGATCGATATACTGAAAACAGGAGGTTGACATACTATAAATGGGTGCCATTCTTCTTGCTTTTTCAAGCAGCTTTATTTCGTCTTCCCAGTCTGTTTTGGAACTACCTTTCTTTTAGCTCAGGTAAAGATTTTGTAGTTGGACACTTATGTTTTTGAGATGATAGAAGAACTTGAAAAAGTTTTGATGGAAGTGGCGAGACAAACGATGAAATCTTTAGGACAACGCTGCTAAGAACAGCTGAGTAGTTGACTGTGAAAGATGACACCTAATGGCTCATGTGAGAATTCAGAAGTGTTTAGGAATTCGAATAAATGAAATTGTAACACGAGCAGTGGACCCAGCAAACATGGAGGAGCCAAATCAGAGCCACTGTGTCGCGGTGCTTGCTAAACATATTCAGAACGCATTAAGGTTTCAAAGACGGGTTTTAAAGTAATGTTGCACTATTGATTAATAGTTATTTCTAAAATTCAAGTGACGACGAAGTGGCGGTATTTTGGGTCAGTCACTTCAAAACGCTTTTAATAATAAGTGGTTTTCAGGCGAGATATTAAGATTCACAAGACACTAACTTTTTTAAACATTCGATACACCGCGTTCTTCATATCATTGATGTACATGATCACCAAAACTCTGTATTTGACCAACGCGCTTTTGCAAATATACATCTTGAACAGGTCACCGGTTTACTAAAGTATTGTTCTTTTACTTTTAATGAGGCAGCTGGAGTGTGAATTTGATTCAGAAGATAAGTAGACCGGAATAAATTGAAGCACAAGTTTCTGAGCAGTAAAAGAATCTCGTCGGTGTAATTAAACTAGTACTGTTATTAGTTTTAATGGTTCTTACTTAACTTACAATTTCAGAGTGATTGAGTCTTTAGAATTTACTGTAGTAATTTTTTAATGCTTCTGACAAAGTGGAGTGCTTGTTTTTAAAGACTTTTGAGTATTTTTGAAAAGAGTATGGTTTTATCAGATTGGTTTTTCCTCATGGGGGTTTGAACTACTTTGGTGAGATAGATTTTTAACTGATGCTTGTAATGACTTTTAAATCATGGGTTTTTATTTAATGATTTATGTAATAGAAAACCTTCGTTTTTTAGTTACTCTCAAGTTTTTGCAGGAAATTGAAGCTTAATTGCAAAAAATGAGTTCTGATAAGTCGAGAAGCTGTTGGGCTTTAGAATGCCGAATAACAATGACGAGGCATTATGCTAAAGTCTGTCTTTCTTTAAGTCAGAAACTAAAACTGAATTAATCTAATTGGTAAACGGACGCTGAGCTCGTTTATGACGCAAAATTTCAAAAAAAGTCTGCTCACAGAGAAGTACCGTTTTTCTAGTGGAGCTGCTTAACCAGCACATTATGTAAAGGAAGTTTTTGAGCAGAATGCGCCTTATCTTTTTGCTCATAGCTATACTTTATTTGAAGAATGAATTGTTTAAAAAAAGCTGCATTGTCTATCACAAATATTTGAGCTATCTAAGATATTTTTTTGGAATTATGAATGAACTCATTTAGCGTCTTAGAGGTGCTTCATTTGAGCGAATCAGTAGCGATTTTGTAGTAAACTTCCACTTTATAATTTTGTTCTGCTGAATGCTGTTATTAAGTGACTACGTCTGTGCATTTCGTTAAACTTAATTGGCTTTCTCATGGAAGATTTTTAGCTGAGCAAGAACCTTTTGCCTAATGCTGATTGTTTCTACGTACACCTTATACCAAAAAATGGGATAATAAGCTGTACCCAACTGCATTACGTCAAAACTTGAAAAAGGGTATGACCAGTCGTTTTAATTTCTACGGAGTATGTTGAATTTGTCAGAAGTTTCACATCAAGAAACGTCTATTGAGACACACGGCTAATCTGCATTTACAGTGCATTGCAGTTCTATTCCGTCACTTTTATACCTCACTAAATGAAACAACTTAAGTTGTGGAGGCTGGTTTTTGCATTACAATACAGATTTAAATGTCGACACCCTTTGTAAAATTGCTCAACTTCTTTTAAAAATCTTAAATAAAAACAATTTAAACTTGAGCAAGGCAACCTGCCATGCCATTTTTAGTAAATTTGTGTCTTTTCGCTTATTTCTAATGAGTTTAACCAGGCCTTCGTATGAATAAAATTTTTTCTAGAAATTTTTTTTGTACAAATATCTTTTGCGAAATTAAAATTTGTCATGTAGCAATAATAGGCTTAGTTCAATATATTATAATTTGGGAAAGCAAGTTCACCAACAAAAGCCAACGATGTGGTAATCTTTGTATTTTTCAAAAGCTGAAAGAACTACGGCCATAAAAGTTGTTGACTATCTTTTTAGGTTTTTAAAAATTGGCCAAAATGAGTGGTATGGTTTGAAAGTTATTCAAGAGGTTTTAAATGGCACTGAATGGAGTAATAGTGGAGTTTTTCCGCGGGTCTCAGTTTGCGACTTTACGGTAATTTGAAAGTTTCAACGATTGAGTGACAAAAAGTAAAGTTATCCTAGAAGCAAATGTCTGTTGTAATGAGAATTTTTCGGTATATATTCGCTATCAACATTGTAGGTATAATAGAAATTTTTGAAACTTCTGTTATTCAGCCTCTGTTTTACAGATCTGGCAAGTCGGAAACATTCTTCGGTATTCAGCACAGTGTGTTTTGGTCATCAACATGTTTAACGAAAAGATTTTCATATTTCTCTGGTTTTGGTACATGCTTCTAGTTACGTGTACATTATTATCGTTTGCGTACTGGTTGATAACGCTAACGGTTCCATGCTTTAACCGGTGGTTTATTTCACAGAGTTTAGAATTGTCGGACATGAAATTCGATCCTGAAAGTAAGCATTCAAGTGAAGGTTTTTTTGCAAAATGATCTCATGGAAAGTCAATGACTGAGTATCTTCTACTAACTCGATCTTTGCTAGTTAGCCATTGTTTGCAGCAAAGAGAAAAGAAGTTGAAAGATTTATATCAAAATATTTACGATACGATGGCGTGTTTGTTCTCAGAATGGTTACTATACATGCGGGAGTAATTTTCGGCACAGATTTGGTGCTTGCTTTATGGAACGCCTTTTACCACCTTGAAGAGGAAGTAATGTTTAACACTAGCTCTGCGAATTAGTTTGTGGGACAGTGAAGATGGAAATTTGCTAAGATTTGCAAAACATTTTTCTGCAGTCTTTTGTTTATTTGATCTGCTTAGCAGAAACCACCAAAAAATAGGAAATAAAAATGTTCGAATCATAATTTTCTTTACTTTAACCCAGTTAAAAGCTTAACAGATTTTTAGATAAAATCATTTTTTCAAGTTTTCTGAGGGAAGAACGTCATTGACAGATAACAGCGAAAATAAGCAGAACTTTTTGCGGCAAAGAAGGAGGAAAGAATTTACTCCGCCTTTGGACTTAAATGTACGCACTAAGCTGATACCGGTTGTGTCCGACAAGTCTGAAAGCGGTTCGAACGATTATAACTGAGTTTCTACACTTACGGTGAGTAAGCAGCTTTTAAAACATTCATTAAATTTTGCAAGCAAGGACTTATGGGCTTGCAGTGTATTAGAATCTGAAGAACAATTGTGCGCTACGCGGTAATCTTCGACGAAAAGCAACTTGTTCGAGCCGAATTCTTTGTAGTTGCAGCATTGTATTTGCTCGTGATACATGTTTATACTTATACTTTACCCTTGCAGAATTCGCAAGGCCAGCATCTGTATGTGTCATTTATTAACAGTTAATCTTTTCATCTCTCTTTTTTTCTGCAAATTTTTGTTTTTTGATCGTTCACTTTTTTAAAACTTTACAGATCTTTAATCAATTGGAATTAGCTATTAATTGAAATCAGGATTGCAAAGAACTGGTAAAACATTGCTTTGTTGTTGTTGGTTGTTATTATGAGCAGAAAAATAAGTTGGTGAAAACAGTATAAAAATTTTCAAAACAAACGATTACAAGATGCATTTTAGAGCGGCTTAGGGTAGGGGGAGCGATGTCGGTGAGGTTCACTGCAGGTGTAGAACTAGAAATGCCACTGAAAAAACTTGAGAAATCTATTTCAAGCGTTTTAGAAAGAAAACTTTATTTCCTACACGTCATACTAATTTGTTTACCAGATATTGATATTCTTTCGCGTTAGATTTTTTTGCTTACACTGTAACAAAATTAGTGGGTTTTTGAGATTGGCGTGATGTACGGCAATGTGCAGTTGATTTAACGACATCGAAGTGTTTTAGATTTTTTGTTTCGGTTTTTTACAAACGTTCTGGGAAAACATTTTTTGTTCTTTTAGGGGGTTTTTCACTTTTCATATTTTAAATGTTTTAAAATTAGTGGTACAACTTATAATTGATTACTTATAATCAATTAGTTCTTTGTTTAAAAAGTAAAGTAGTGGTGAGAAACCTGAGTTCTTGAGCGCCGAATTTGATTAAATCAGAAGGCGATTGTCAAGTTCAGAAGACAAGAAATTCTCACAAGATACTTGATTTATTATAAGAAATGTCAGTTTTATGTTTTAACTGCTGTAAAATTTTTGTTCACGCATACTTCACATGGTTACATTGTGAAATTGCTCGTGACAACTACTTTAGTTTACAATGGTCTGTTTAAGAGACTTAATTGTAGCTGTAAATGAAAATAACTAAAAGACTCGGAGGGCTTATAAAACTAGTCGGGAAACTCACTACTAAGGCCTTTTTTACACCACAGAGCATACACAGTTTTAAAGGCAAAATTCTTTGAATAACGCTGGGCCAGATTGGCGTCAACATGTTGCTGTTTAGGAACGGGCTTATTTGTTGAAATTTGCTCGTTTTGGGAAGGAAAGAATGGTATAGTGAGCTCTGCGGCAATGATGTCATACTGGTATTTGAGAAAACTGTAAAGTGTAGATTAAAGGAAGTGAGCTGTCTTTGAATTTTTAAAATTATCAGAATAGTTATCGTCGATGATTATTTGTTACTTGAGATCTTCAGGAAGCTAATATTACTTTCTGAACTTGATATTCAATTGTTCTTTCAAAATTCTAGCAAAAAAGTAAGTAATAACCAGGAAGTTTGAAGAATATAGGGAATCAGCTGTTAGACCTTTTTTACATTGCGTTTATTCAGCGCTGTTTCGAGGAATTATTTAACTTTTAGTTAACTATGTCCTATAACATCGTTATCGTTTTTTGCTTTCGGTTGTTTTATAGTTATCAGTCTATTTAGGAATTGTTTGAACACCGAAACTATATATCTCTTTGTCATTTTGCTAATATTATTAGCATTCAGGCATTTGATGAAAGAGATAATTTAGAAGTTAGAATACGTCATTGAAAAGTATTTTTAGATATTTTGAGATAGTGTTTTTTATTTTACTCTTTGTCACGTGCAATTCACAGTTTAATGCCTAAAGCGGTCTCTGATATTGGCAGCGAAAAGATCTGTTTTCCCTTAGACTGCTCACCAAGTTATGCCTGCCAAAATCAGAAAAATTGTAAGGTCTTATTCTACACAGCTACCTATGAGAACTGATACATTTAAGAGAAATTAACGTAATTTAAAAGCTTATTTCATTTAACTTGTAACTGTATATTTATGCAAGTTTTAAGTGTAAAAAATGCCACTTTTCAGAGATATATGATAGGAAAACTGGGTTTTAAAATTTTTAAAATGGACAATGTGCAGAGTTTTATACTTATAAAATACTAAAGTAAATTGAATACTCAGTGGAGCCATTGATAATGGGATGAAAAGTAAAGTAGAGTTGTAAAAGCTGTATTGAAATGCGTCGTTCTGTCGTCGTGGCAGTAACAGATCTTCTGCAGTTTATCAAAAGAGGCTTACAGTATTTAAACAAGGACGTTCCCACTTCTATATGGGTTTACATGTTGTTTGGCCTGTGACGTAGCACCGAAACTATGCATTTCAACGCAGTTTTTACCGCTCCACTTTTTCTCAGTACGTTGTAAGCCTAATGGATAAGTAATTGTGATCTTGAAATTTTGTAAAGTACAAAACTTTGCGTGTTATTTATCTGTTTTGAGAAATTTAAATACCTGTTTAATTGAAAACTTGGTTTTTTTTATTTTGCATTTCTTGTATACAATTTTAAAATTCAAAATAAACTTGAATTGGAAGATACACGCTACTAAAAGAATTAAAAATTTTTAAATCGTTTCAACTTCCCGCAAAGTTACAAGTTGCAAATTCTCAAATTTAGCTCTGACATTTCTTCAGATTTGATGCGCTAATTTTTTATCAATTTAACTTTTTCAAACTTAGAGCCGCAGTTCACTAGTATGCGAAATTAAAAAAATTTTGAGATTTCAACTGAAAAGAGCATGAAACTTGATGCGCGGTTGTCCCCACCTTCCTTTTTCCAACCTCCATTATTTCAAGACAATGAAATTTGAAATGTGCAACGCTGCAGTGTTTAAGATTATATTCAGTTTAATTTCCAAAGGAAATTTTCATAAACCGTTGTCATAATTCATGTGATCTTGTGTTTTTAGTCGACTTGTCGTATCGTATTTGCGCGATTCACTTACTTTCTGTAGTGATAGTTTATAACTAACTCTTCGTGTCTTATCCCCAACTTTTCAATCAGTACAGCTAAGAAAAAAGATTAAGCATTGTGGGTTTAATTATTTTTATTTGCTCACTTGGTTTTTACCAGTTCTGATGCGCTAAATGTATCTTTTTTGTTTTTTAAACGATGGACAAAGTGGAATTGCTTGAAACGTGCTGTTTGCACCTAACCAGCTTTTTTACCGATCATATATTTCATTTATTATTTGTCTCATTTGTAAAATAGTCTATTGTTTACTTATTTGTTTATTTATTTATTATTTATTTAATTATTTTCTAGACGTGTCACCATAAAATTTTAAATTAGTTGCGGAAAATATATCAGGTGCAGCATTTAACAATAAAAGATATTATATCTATTTTATATGAAGTATTTTCGCTGATAAGAACTGACCTTAATTGTATCTATGAAGGAAAATCGACAGTACTCAGTTTTTAAGAATTGGCTTTTAGTGACAGCTTTTGTAAATGTTATGTAAAAACGTGTTCAAAAATTCTTTTGTTGTGGAAGGTATCTACGACTCCTGTATTTCAAGCCCACTACTTTTTAAACCTGCTCAATAATAAGAACGAGATTTTTTCATAGTATTGGAAGAAAAATAAGAAAGCTTTCAGAAAAATTTTATCGCTAATAACGGGAATAAATTTTTTATTGGCTGTACGATTTAAAGTTTTAAGTTCTATTAAGTTTATATGACTTATACGTCTGTAAAGAACAGCGCATCTGATTTTGGTTAGAACTATTGTCGAATTAGTGCAGTTTCACTATTATTATTTTTCACAGCATGTTGCTTTATTTGCTGTTTACTTCGAACGAGTATGTTTATTTGTTTGAAGCGTATAAACTTGAAAAACAGGTATATTTTAATCTGTATTTCTCAACCAAATGCTCTGCATTTGAATTAACTTCAAAACTAGTAAATGATGATTTTTATGGGTTTTTACTACTTAGTTGGCTCCAAGCTTCTAAGCTGTTTTTTGTTTTGAAAAGTTGAACTCTTTTTGTGCTGGCATACTTCAGAAGTTTGGTTGATATTGGCTCGAAATAACAAAAAAGACTGTAGCTTGAGTAAGGTTTACACTTAGGCTAATCCCTTAAGTACCAAATAAAGTTTATCTAACGCTCAGAGTGAGAAAAACAGTTAAAAACGTAAATCAGTGTTGGTTTTACCTGCTAACTTTTGCGTTGAATTTTTGTAGGATAGCGTTGATGAAAGAATTTCTCAAAATTATTACTTAATTGTCTGCCAGTTGGTGCACTAATGATTTTTCCTCTTTAATTTGACTTTTTT